GTCTGCTCTGGAGACTCCTGCCCTGTTTGTTCGCTGACTTGGGGATCCTAATCACACAGCTTAATGGAGATAAGGCCTGAAGCAGAGAGAAAAGAGCCCACCCAGTTCGGGGCCTCCGGGAAGACGAAGGAAAGCCAGCCGTGTGAAAAACGGAGGCTCGTCCAACTGCGAGCGGTGTGTGCAGTTTTCCCTCACTGCAAGTTCGGTATTACAAAAATAGATTTGCTCTTTGAAGCCAGATGGCACGCGATACTTCTGAAGTTAAATCTGGCCTTATGACAATGCCCGTGGCCGGGGAGAAACCACTTGGGCTGTGATGGCAAACTACTCAGGCCTCTGCGAGTCCTTTCCCGAACCTCTCTGAGTGTGAAGATGCGTACGTGGCCCTTGACGATGATGTGACTACTGTGTGGCCAGGGACCTTTTTTTTTTTTTTTTTTTGGCCTCTGCCTCATTCTTGTTTCAAAAAACTAGTAATTAAGAACACGTAAATGATAGCCTTGGTACTGATCATCGATTAGCTGGTCCTTTACAACAATAGGCTTTCGCTGCTCATTTTCCAATGGTTTCATCGATCGATTGATTGCTGCATCCGTTCATTCAGAAGTCGACGGGTTCATACAAGCAGGATCATAGGGTCTGCAGTCAAAAGACCTATGTTGGGCTCATCGAGACAGGATTTTTAAAAGCCATGTCACCTTGGGAAACTCAGCTCTAGCTTCTACACCTTATATGAGAGAGAATCATAGTAACTGAACCTAAAATACCGTTTGTAAAAGTGATTTATAAACAGTAAAACTGTGTAAATGCATTTTATTTTCAGAAGCTAGAACTATGCCTGGACTATTGTATAAGCTACGTAAATAAGTATGCTGTGAGCATCTATTCCGTGCTCAGAAATGTATGAGGAATTTTATAGAGAAAAAGACTCATCGGACAGAAATACTATACTTGAGGATGTTAAAGTCTTTGAGAAGAAAATAATTTAGTCGTGGAGAAGACACAAATTTAGTCAGTGTTTTCTTAAAATTTTCTATAAAGTAACTTATTTACCAGATGAGGCCATCGACATTGTTATTCCCTGTGATCCTCAGCCTGATTTTGTAATAACCCACATTTAAAGGTAATATCAGTTATTTTAAGGTATGCCGCTGGTAAATATAACACATTACTCAATTATATTTAACAAGCAGTATACTGCTTGTTAAATAATTTCCTAATTTATTATTAAATTATTAAATAATTTCCTAATTTAAGTTTGGCAACTTAACGGTAGACACTGAACCCAGGCTACTTCTTTCTGTATGTTTTAGGAACCAAATGATTTTCAATAATAATTGGAAATACTTATTTTCAAATTAAGAACAAATATTCAATTGTTTAAGCAAAATTTCCAAATGTAGACTTGGCAAAAAAGGGGTACTTAAACGTTGGCTGTTCTATTTAATAGTTATGTGATTTAAGAAAGTGATGTAACCTTCTGAAATTCAGTTTTCTGCTATGTAAATGAGATAATAATGCCCCATTTAAAGAAGAAACACAGAATATGTACAGAACACCTGTATTAAGTAGCTGCAGGTTAGGTTTTGGTCACAGAGACCCTGAAAGACAGGAGCCTGGACAGACAGACATTTCTTCCTTCCTCACGTAGACACCTGACGTGGAAGGGCCCAGCAAGTCTCACCATGGGTTGGAATAAGTCCACTTCTGCCATGGGTACCGGCAGGACAGGTACATCAGACAGACAAAGGACGCTGCCTTCGTGACTGGAGGGGCTGGCTGGTCGAGGGCCTCAGGGCACCAAGGGGTGCCTGTCTGCCACAGAGCGCCCCAGGGAAATGATAGCCTGCATCCCGGGCGCCGATGCTCGGCCTCGTGAGGCTCCTCACATCACACCACCCGGGGTACCTAAAGCATTCTCCTATGTACCAATCATAATTTGGATGATTGTTATTTTCTTTCCATGAAGGCGTACTCTGTCGAAGGGGGCCTGATAATACTGTGCAATTCAGACTTATAGATGTGGAAACATTACACGTGGGTGTGTGTGTATGCCTGTGTAAGTGATGATGTGGGTGTGTGACGGAAGTGATTCGCTCGACCATGCAGAAGGGGGCAGCTATACAGGGCCTATGACAGTGGCATCGAGATCACAGCTTGCTGGAGACGCCAAAGGGCGTCTCTAGCCCGGTGGGACTTCAAACCCAGAAATTGCCACTGCCCTTTCAGAGCCGGCACCCATCGCCCCAGGGTCTGTGGGGCTGCGGCCGGGGGCTCTCGTTTTCTCCAGAGGCCGTGGGACTTCCTGGTTCTGAGTAGGTGTTACAGATGGTGCCGTAGGTAAGTGTCAGATGGGGAACCAGCGTGTGTCCTTGTCACCTCCACTTCCCCAGAAGCCACTTCCCTCAGTCTCTCCATGCTGCCAACAGAGGCTCAGGTGCCTGGCTCTCTGCCCTGCTCCTGGAGTTCCCTTTGACTCTGCAGCCTGTGCACCCTGCCCCTTGGACAGTGAGAAATCACAGGCGACAGAGGCCTTTGAAAGCGCCACCAAACAGGGACTGTGGCCCTGACTCTCATTTACAACTCTTCTCTCTTCTGCTTCCTTTGTAGCTCAAGAGCTGCAAAGTGTCACACTGTGATATCTTAGGCAGGTGTTGGACACAAAAGCAGTCACCTACCGTCCCCAGACAGTCACGAGAGATGAACCCGTCTTAGGGGAGCTTGGTTTTACCTATACTAAAGTAGAGGAGACAGTGAATTGAGAATGTCTAGATAGTTTAAACTTCACTGACAGAACCAGGGGCAAGGTCAAGGCTAGGGGCGTAGACAGAGCCTCTCTGAGGCTCAAAGAGTTCTGCAGAACCTCCGTGTTTTTGAGGTAATTGGTATAGTAAAAAAAAATAAAGATAACAGGCTTAGAAACTTTGCGGCATATTTAACATTTTTACACTTATCAAAATAACACTTTTGGTACCTGCAAACAATTCAACCGTATCTGTTTTCTTTCTCTTAAATCAGGATAGAGTTCTTAAAATACATTTATGCATGGAGGATTAAGCGGCATGGTTTTATAAGGGGGTATATGGAAGGTGATCATTCCCTTAACTCTGCCTTGGGCAGTCTGTTCCACACCTACTGTTCTAGCATAATTATTAATAGCACCCAAAGACTGTCCTAGTTTGAATGATAAATTGTTTGGTCAACTTAGGAATATATTTAAACCTGTATACTAAATGCCTTCTCTCCATGTGACTCAGTAACTCTATGAATAGCCTATTTACAGAAGTATCAAAAGTCTCAATTGGAGGCACGTTGGGAACGGGCTTTGGGAATGAATCTGGGGGTCCTCTCCATGGAGGTGACACCGGAAGTTGAGCTGGTGAATGCATGTTGCCAGAGATGGGTGATGAGACCCTCATAAGCCCTACATTTGTTCTGAACTTGGTATTTTCCACACCGTGGCCCCATTTATTATCTCGGCCGATCCTCTGACACTACTGTGAGGTAGGCAGTACTTGGGATGTTCCTGTTCTACCCTTGATGGAAAAAAAAAGACAAATCAGAGGACCGTGAACGATGTAGGTTTACCTCAACGGTCAGGGGCAGACCCCAAACCCTCAAACTTGAACGCAGAGCCTTTCCCCACTGCACTGCATGATGGGAAAGTCACCCAAAGGTGCGTTTGTCCAAGTCGTTAATGCTTTGAGAGCCCCGTGGCCTGTAGTGCCCTGTGTGACACCTGATGTTACCAGTGATGCGCTCGCATCACGGGGCCCGACCAAACCGGGTTTCCATCCCAAAGGTCGCGTGCGACTTATGCGGTCTCTCTGCGTGTTTCCTTCACCACTTGCATCGTGTGGAAGGACAACACTTCCTACTTCAGTGGTCTGCTGCATTACATGAGATTTGTGTCACGTGCCTCAGGTGTCGTACGCAGGAGGCCCCAGACAATCCCTATCTTTTCATAAAGTATATGTAAAATACTTAGGTTTTTAGTACATCTTTAAGTTCCAGCTGAGGCTTCTAGGACAGAGACAAGACCCTTGAGGCTATTTCACATTTTTGTGAGTTAAGTCCCTTCTAACCTTAGGGACCCAGTTAAACCAGCAGCTGAATTTGCTGGCAGATAATCAATGCATGGGTTCCATCCTGGCTCCTTATAAACACTGAATAAATCTGAAATTCCCCATCACTGGAAAGAAATTTAATATTTAAAGGTAATCTGACCTGTACATGTGTGTACCATGAATATTTAATCAAAGCTATAGCAAATGTATTTATATAGCATTAATCTGAGGATATTTATTTCCTATTCGTTTTCTAGGAGCGTATTTCCTCAGCACGTGTGAAGCTGACCTCTGTGAAAATGCTCAGTCCTAAAGGTGAGCTTAAAAATTGTGGAGTGAAGCTGTTTTCTTCTCCTGCCGAAAGGGTCGATTCTCCCCCTGCACCCTTAAAAAGAAAAGCGATTCTAAGAGGACATTCTAAGCTGTGTCCCCGGTTATCCCCATAGCACCCCTCTGTTGACTCTTCATTCTACTTTATAGAATGTTTACAAATAAAGAAAGCAAAATCTCACTTTTTCACTTTCCTTTGATATAAATAATTTCACTCCTTTGTAATATTTTAACCTGTGAATGCTTTAAATGAAAAGGGTAGGCATGATCCAATTTAGCTGGTAGTTTATATAACAGCTAATTCAGATTTATATATATAACATATGTGTATATATATATACATATAAAACATATATATATATTTTTTTCATTTAATTTTTGGATAGGTTAGGAGACCCACACAGAATGAAGATGTTTTTCTCTGACGTAGCTTTAACTTTGGGATTAAGAGAAAGCAAAACCAACCAAACAGATAACATCAACCTGATGAGTAACTGTAAAAGCCAGAAAGAACAGTCTAGCCCGTTGGTCAAAGGTACTGCTCAGTCACGCTTCCGAGAAAGGTCACGGCTGGCTCACTAAGTCACAACTGGAAACCTTCCACGTTCTGAGTTGTTTTCATTTCCTAATCATGTTCCTCTTTAAAACGCTACTCCAGTAGGGAAAACGAAACCCATGTTTATGATCGGAATACTCTTTTAACATGTCAGGAGCAAGGTGTCGTGTTTCGCAATCTAATGGAAAGAAAATAAAATTTGAGATGGAAACTTAAGCTACTGTAACTATTTAAAAGCACAGAATTCTAAAGGAATCTGTTTTCAGACTGCACGTTGAAGAACTGGAGCCGGGAGGAACCGATAACGTGTTCACGCTGGAGGAGATGCTCGTAGTTAACGCGGAACCTCGGCCCGCACGTCGCTGGACTGTCATAGTCGCCGAGCGCTGCTCTGACTTTCCTGAACTCCATGGCCCAGTGCTGCTTAGCCGTTAAGCTCAGGGATGCAGCGCCTGCTGTGTAAGAATGTTCGAAATGTCATGTGTTTGCCTACTTGTTATAAAACTTCTTGTGCCTTCAGCTAGAGCCCCTTTTTTCTTTTCCCATGGGATGGTCAGTGTGATGTATCAGTGGCTGTATGATCCTTGGCTTTGAGACCCTGTGGAAATGGATTTGTAAGAGAAGCCTAACTCTTTGTTCTCTAAAATCTGCTGGCTGATTTTAGATGAATTTTCTGTTGTCAGCACTCGATGGGCCTAGCAAAGTGCGACGCGGTAAACGCACACAAATATATAATGGAAACCAAAATTTCAGAAAGTATTTACTGAATGTGAATACAGGATGATATTTTCTGTTGCAGTTTATCCCATTTCGTTAAAAAAAAAATACTAGTCACGATCCACTAAACTGATTTCGTAGTCCACTGATGGATTATGATCCGCTCGTGAAAAACACTGGCTTCGCACCTAACAAGGCACATTGCAAACAGCAGTTGATCAATGTGCCTTTTGAATAATACAGTTTTCAAAATGTATTTTTTATTTTCACAAAGACCGTGCATAGGCTTTCTCCACTGTTGCTTCCTCAGGATCTCCCCACTGTAGTCCGACACAAAAGCGCCTTTTACTTTTAGTGCCCAATGGAAATTTACAATGCACTCTGAGAATTGGGGAGCAGAAGCTGTAAATGTGAGGTGGCATTTGGGGTGGCCAGATAGCGAGGGCATCCAGTTAAATTTGAATTTCAGATAAATAATGAGTAATTGTTAAATATAAGTTTGTTCCAAGTGTTGCATGGATATGCTCATACTGCAGAAATTACCTGTCGCTAATCTGGAATGCAAATTTAACTGGGTGTCCTGTATTTTTTCTTTGAATATTTGCTAAATACAGCAACCTTCAATCCCAAGAACTGTCTTTTCCACTTACATGCAGCTAACTGAGCTGAATTTCATTTCTCTCATTTCCGAAATGTGAAGGTTGACTTGACGAGCATGAAGGTCCCATCTAGGTGTAATTTTCTGTGATTTAAGATACAGAGATTTGGAATGTATAGTAGCAAGAACTCTAGGTGGTGAATGAATAAAATCGAAAATAATTTCAGTTTTTCTATTTCTGCTGCAGTTGAATCATGTAAACATATGTTTAACTTGCGGGAAATTAAATGATGTATTCCCAGGAAAGAGAGAGAAGGATGTGTGGTGCTGGCTATTTTGCTCACATACTCTCCACGAGCATTCACCCTGGAGTAGACAGTAGACGCTGCCCATGAACCTGTATTCCTAAATTCTCACGGTAGGAGTGTCTCACTGGCTCTAGTGCCCACAGGCTGTGCCTCTGAGATCTTTCAGCAAAGACCTTTCCATTCAGAGGCAAAGAGAACAGCAGTCACAGCCTGTAGTGACAGCACCTCCAGGATCCACGTGGGTTTCCAGCTAGACCAAGCTCCCCTAAGCACCCTGGTCAACGCCTGCGTGTGCGGAAGGCACCAGAGCCCGTGTTTTCTGCCCAATGCTGGACCCCTCTACCGGGCGGTCTTTGCACAGGAGCTGCTTGTTAGGTTAGCTTTGCTTCGTCAGTCTGCATGGCAGTGAGAGGCTCTCCTGCCAAACTCTGCCTTTTACCCGCTTTATCTTTTCTTCTTTATCCCCAAACTGTCAGAGGCTGAAGAGGCGGCCCGCTTCTTCCTATTAAGAGCTTGCGTTCCCCCTGGGTTGGAAGACTACTGAATTCTGACTCCTGCTAAGTCACAGGACCCGCCACCACTTCTACTGGCTACCACACCAAAAACTGATGGTAAGTCAGAACACACTCAGGACGGGCCAAGCTGGTCACAACTTAATGCCCCAGGAACTGCAGGAAAACCGACATAAACAGACGGACGCCACGGGAGTACCTACGGACTGGATTTTGAGGGTGCCTCACCAAGGTGTCAGAACACAGGATTGGGTAAGAAAAGTGGGTAACTCTGTCAGAATATGAGATTTTAACACCATTCCGACATGGGACATTCATAGATGTTCTCAGACCCGCAGGGTCCCAGAAAATAAACCACTCTCAAACTTTTATGTAAAAAAAAAAAAAAAAAAAATTAAGGACATATTCCAAACCAAACGAACAATGAAGCAAAAACAGCAGAAACAAGCACTGAGAGAATATGATGGAAGAGAGTGGTAAGAAAAATCAAGGAACCTTAGTTGTTTTTAACACTCGTCACAAAATATACTTAAGGAATATAATGAACATGTTAAAATTTTACTCTTGAAAGGGAAGACTAATAAAATAAAGTTATCGATAATAATCTAGATTTCAAATCTGAAATTATCGGGGAGTACAAAAATAAAAAAAAAAGATAGTCGAGTTGACATATTTGGGGTTTTAAATAAATATTGTTTCATGTTAGATTTTAATAAAGGAATAGCAGAGAATATATGTCACTTTCTAATCACTAAAGAGAGCAAAAAGAAAGACCAAAATATGTAAAATACTGACTTTTTAAAAAACTTTTTTATTCATAAATTATGATGATTTTTCCGTGTGTATAAATACTCTCTTTGATACCACAGAACATCCTATTGACTGACTACCCCCACGGTATTTTAACCAACGTCCTATATTTAATATGTTAAATGTGTTGCCAAATTATATTCCAATGAGTTTCTATCATTTTATAGCTACACTGGCTTTGAATGAAAGTGCCTGTTACCTCACGCCCTAGCCAACATGCTGTTAAAACAAAAATATATCAGTACTGTCTCATTTTAGCTCAGCCACTAAATATTTCATTCATGTAGATTTTTCCTGCCCTGAAATAAAATGATTAATTTTGCTCAAAATGAGTTAGTGATATATTTATATGCCAAGTGTATTTTTTCCCCACAAATAAATTAAAATCTGTCTTTAGAATAGGACCAACTGCTAAATGTTTTCTGGTTTTAACAAATATTTTGTTTCAGGCCAAAATTACAGTCAAGTACTGTATCAAATTATTTGTTAAGAGTTATCATCATTCTATTTGATTAAGACAAGAGTCCACTGGTGAAAATACCTACAAAAATTAATGGTGATTATGGTTAGGTTTGGATAACCCCTTTGCAAGTGATATTTCTGATTTTAACATGTAGTGGTCAGATGTTCATGTTTATTTGTATTCCTCCCATAGGGAGGAATATAATCATAAATTACTATGTTTTTAAGAGTTTTTTCTTCTTCTAACATGTTTGCTGCCATTCGACTACCATCTTCTATTTTTTTAATGAAAAGTGACATTAAATGAAATATGACACACCAAAGAATGTCAAGACAATTTTAAGAATCTCAATTAAAAATGGAATTCAACCTGTAGCATGGGTGGTAAAATAAAATTTTAATTTTAAAGTCTTTAATATGACAATAGATTGTCAAGTTATAGATAACTTTTGACTGTCTATAAATTAAGGTGCATGAACCATAAAGTATACTTTTTATTAGACATCAAAGATGGAACAGTATTTTGGTGGGCAGTTTGACACTATCAACACGAACAAACAAACAAAAATATGTACCTATGACCTAGCAACTCCACAAAGATATTCCTTACATTATCACGCATAATAACAAACTCTAAAAAAAATCATCTCAGCAGTCACTAATTGCATACCGATTAAAAAAATTAAAGTATATCTATATGATATGAATTATTTAACCGTTAAGGAGAATAAGGGATAATTGACTGAAAAGTATTATTACATTTTTATGGCACATAGACTCAGTTAAGGTCAATCTTAAAAGGTAAAAACATGGAAAACACGTGTAAGGTAAAACTAAAATCAATGAAAGAAAATCTGAGACAAACTTTGTGACTCAGGGGTATGGAATAATTTTAAAAAGTCATATGACAAATCCACAAGAAAAAGTGGATTTGATTTCGATCAAAAATAAGGATTTGATATTAATAAAAAAATAGCACACCTAACATTAAGGGGTAGATAACAGCGTGAGAGAACATATTTGCAATGTGGAAAACTGTCAAGAAACTAGTAGCTTGAATACACAAGGAGCTCCCGCAACTCAGTAAGAAAATGCTTCAACACCAAGAGGAAAACAAACATGCGGATAGTTAATGTACTTAAGTGGAAATCCAAAAATTTACAAGTTAAAGAAAACCAAATTAAAACGGCAATTAAATATCACTATTAAATCGCCTAATGTAGAAAGATGGGTGAGATCAAGCACGACAGGCTAGGTGGGGATGTGGGAATGGAGACTCAGGTAGCCATTCCCACGCTGGAGAGCGATCTGGCGTTTGTAGGTAAAGTAAATGTACACCTGCCTGATTAACCAGCTGTTCTGCTTTGAGGCATATATGCTAAAAGAATTCTCACTCAGGTCTACACGTGGACATATATAAACACGTTGTTGTTGTTGTTGTTTCTTCCCAGTGTTATGTGGGGTGTGAGAAGTTGATGGCAGTGTCTGGACGCCTGTCAGTGAGCGTTCTGCTCAAGCGTGGGGCTGTGCACCACGTGGCAGGGAGGCGGCACAGACGAGAGGACACGAAGAAATACGGGTGTGCAAGCGCGGGGGGCGGAGTACGCAACGGAACAGCGCGGGTCAGAAAGACCGCCGTGCGGGTGTGCAGTTGTTACACAGTGATGCTCCACCGCATTCGTCAACGATCGTGGTATGCCAGGCACTGAGAAAGAGGTGTGAAGTCCCACCCAACAGATAAATAAACAAAACAGCAGATGTGAAAATCAAGAGAATCTCAGTAAAGAATTTTAAGTGTAAGTGAAAAACTCCAAGTTGCAGAAAAAAATACGGCACCATATGCATATCCATTTGTGAGTATTATATGTCTGTATATACATACATATACTTCTACAGATGTATGTCTGTCCATATGTACATATTCATGCATATACACATCCATCATATGTATATGTATACATATGCACATATACGAATACGCAAATATATAATGTGTGTGTGTATATATATATATATATATACATACATGTTATGCATACATACAAAATGTGGGATAATATAAATTATTTGCCATGATTATGTATTGCATCTATTTAAAATAATGATAAAATAGCAAATGTGGGAGTTTTTCCATATTTTGAGAGTACTGTTTTCTATAATAGTTATTGTAATGATTCTTTCGTTGGCATTAAGATCATACTTATGATGTTTAGAAATATTTGGAATGATGGTTTAAGGGTGTGAATCAAAAGTAGAATTTTGCCAAATAGGTTTTGTATACTTTTTCTTATTTTGTATACTTTTTCTCAGTGTTATTCACTTAAGTTAGGAACTGTAATTCACAATCAAGTAGTTTGGTTTTGACACACAAGTTCTTCACCCATATATGGATCAAAGAAATCTTGGACTAGGTATACGGGCATTTTTTGGTCTAGTTTTCTATTGGCTCCATTTAAAAATCTAAATTTGAATTTTATGTCATGGACCGCTGAGTTGAAATATGGCTATTTCAATTTTTGAGGGCTACCTGTAGTTTCAATTTTGCTTCAAAAGAACACTTCAAAATGATTTCTTTCAAAAATGTAATTGCCCAATTGAGACATATTAGTGAGAACTCAAAAAGATTTGAAAAAGTTAATTTATTTGTATAAATATCTATACTGTAACATAATTAACTAAATAGCCTATTAAGCTGGAAAATAAGTAGATATTATTTACGTAATATTATAGTACATCTATATTATCAGTTGCAACTATTTTAAAATAGCGTTTTCATTTAACTATTCACTTTTGTTTCAAATTTTAGAGAGATTTTCCCAATTCTGAGAACACAGGTTTCCTAAATAAAAGACTGCTAAACCAAGTTGAGTTCTTAAAATGTCTATGGAGTCCAACTCTAAATTTATTATCACTCTTTTTGACTATAAAATTTTTAATCTTTGAGAGGAGTTCATAAGAAAACAGCTTTAAATCTGAACTTAACTGATTTAGTCTAAGGTTTGTCTATTTATTTTTTTGAAAAAGTAATTTAAAAACAAATAGAAAGTAATCAGGCTTTCTAAAAATGCATTTTCTATTTCTTATGATGTAGTTTTCTTGTTGGTAACGGTGGTATTTTTTGGCTGTGTCACAAAACTTGAATAGCAAGGAAAGTGAGCAGATAATTCAGACTTAAAAATAAAGTGTTTTAGCTATTGGCAGATGTCAAGACAACTTGAGACTTAATGATTACTGAGCTGCATACCTGCCATCCTTATCTGTCTCTAGCAAAGTTGACAAAACAAGGTAGTCTCATGTCAAAACAGATTGGGAAGGAAGGAAGAAAGACAGAAACTTGGGCAGAGTTAAGAAGAAGTCTTGCGTTTTCATTTCAAGTTTCCTCTTTATTCTAAATGATCTCCTAAACAAAGTCTTATGTGCATCCCAAATAAAGCAAGTTACTAAACCACAGAATATTAATCGGAAAGCATTCTGCACCATTAAATTCGACGATCTGGCAGATAAAATCTCACTGATCCACTCACTCCCCACGCCCTCAGTTGAAAGCATGGATCTCCAAGGTCCTTATCTAAGGGACAAATGTCTGCGCGTGGCGACGGCATTCTCTTTTTCTCTCCTTACCGAAACTCGCTTGCACTGACCCGTAGCACGCCACTCCTTCCTGCAGGTACACAAAGCCAGTCCTTAACACTGGCGTATTCGTGGTCATCCTTCAAGACTCCAACTGAATGTAATTTCCCCTTCGAAACCTCCCCTGAACCACCTTACCGCTCTCGTGCCCCCGCAGTACTGCCTGCATATTTCTATTCTATCATTTTTCTGTACTTCTCTGATTTACGTGTCTGTTCTTCCCGCTGGATCAGTGTTGCCAAGCATCTGATACTTGAGTCTTCATTTCCATTAGAGAATCATGGTACTTTCTCCTGCTGAGTTAGGAGTCTCCTGAAAACTGCCACAGCTTCTTCTAACCAGCTGGCACTGATACATCCATGAAATCTATTTGCCATATCTGCTCTGAACTGTGCCGTCCTTGGCATATCTTATTTGTCTGTGTGTCCTCTGACCGGGAACACAGAATGGATGTCATACATGCATAAGAACCTTTTCAGGATGAGGCTTCCAGATGTATCTATACTTGATAAGCAAAGCAATTTATTCCTACCTATCATATCGTAGGCGATGGCTTTTAATTTTCACCATCAGGGAGCAAGAACTACGGCTGAATGTCATAATAATTTTCCATTTTTTTCTTCTAAATCCTGTGTTTTGTTAACTGTAGGCACAGCCCACAGTTTTCCACCATAAACTACCAACCTGCAGTCCAAAATGGGGCCTTCCACAATGGTCTTTCTATTGTAGACACTATGCCTTTGAGAGCTAAAGCTTTCTAAGTCAGGCATCAAGCTAATGATTTAGTTATTTATTCCTTTGAACCAGCTACTTTGGTGACTCATTTTTCTCCCTAACCCATGCTATTATACACTAATCCATACATTACTTCCCCTCAATACAGATGACACAGACTGTTTACTCAGGATGATTTTGCAATATGCCCATTAACAAAGACTTTGTGGGCAGGAAGAATACCGGTTATTCAACCAAGTTTAGGAACACAGCTGAGTGGTAGACCAGATTAGCAGGGTGTTAAACATCCATTAATAATGGCAGGGCAACAAACTTGAAGGTTTTGATTTTAGTTCAGATAAGCCCTCTAAATTCAGGACTTGGCTAACCGTACTTGTAGGTTTCTCTTACAGAAAACCTGGTCCGTCGCGGCAGGGGATCGGCTGCGTGAATGTTAAGTCAGAACGCAAACAGAGTTTGTAATAATTATTATGATACAATACATTTTAAAATTATTATGCATGTTGAACCTCACGATAGTCTAGATTTCAACTATTTGACATTACTTTTTCCCCCATATCTATGTTCCTCAGATTGCAGGTATTGATTTGGGGTTCAAAAATACTGTCACTCTGGTAAAAAGTGTTTATTCCTATTTAGAAACTTTAGCCAAACTAATTCCATTCTCGATTTTAAAAAAATCACTACTTCCCTTCAGTTTTCTTTGATTCTCACAATTTACTGTGCACGCACCTGCTTCCTCCACCGATCTGTAAGTTCTTTGAAACTGGGGGCCGTGCTGTTTATTTTAATATTCTATTAACGCCTCTACATTTTAGGTGCTCAACTAGTAACTAGTATTACTAAGAATGTTTTTTGCCATATATATATGTACGTCTCATCTCTTCATGATTTGTGGGAAATTTTATGACCATTAAAATGGTTGGTTATCTCTAGTGTCACAAGAAATCAATTTGCTTTTCCAGTTCGGGTTGCGCGATTACTCTGAGCCAGTAACTGTGCTGATCGCTTTACGCAGATTTTCTCGATTAGTGCCCCAAACCCCTCTATGAAGTGCGATTATTACAGCCTCTTTCTAGATATGAAAGTTGAACACAGTCAAAGAACTCCTCCATGACAGTGCAGTCCATGTGGAGTGGCAAAGTCCAGAATCAAAACCGGATCTTAGATCCGGAAGCTTAGACTTTCCATCTCATTGCACTTTATGAAGAAGCCTCTCTTTGCCCTTACTCTCCAAGAAGAAAAAAACAAAAGTTTTGTTTTGTTTTGATTTGATTTGATTTGGTTTCTATGCCTCATTTTTTTTCTCAAGAAAAATTAAGTCTTTGGACCGGTTGCCGAGATAAAAAATCCCAGCATCGTCTTTGTGTGTTTTGCTGACATTCGGGATTCTAGTCCATCAGCGAATCTTGTCATCTCCACTTTCAGAGTCCATCCAGAATCTTGCCACCTCTTACCATTCCCGCTGCCGCCGCCCTGACCCAGCCACCAGCCGCCGTCGCTGGGGTGCTGGGACACAGCTCCCCCTGATCGCCACCTCCGCCACTGCTGCCCCTCCACAGACAATTGTCAAAACAGCGGTCTGAGGGTTCTTTCAGAAACACAGGTCAGATCATGTCACTCCCTGCCCCAATTCCAGTGACTTCCCGCCTCACTCAGTAAGACACCAGACCTTTCCAAGAGCTCCGTGCAATTTACCAGTCCCATTTGCACTCACTTCTTGGACTGACGTCACGCCCTGCTCCTCTGCCCTACGCTAACTCCGCCTCAGTCAAGCCATCTCCCAGCGGCCCCTCCAAGTCACGATGCAAAGGCCCCTTGTCACCGCTTCTCACTGGAAGACGCTTCCCCAGAACAGCTGCGTGGCTTTCCTCCTGGCTTTCTTCAGGTCTTTGGTTAGATCTCCTCTTTTCGGTGAGGGCTCCTCTGACTATGATATTTCAAATTATTATACATTCATTTATTTTTCTCCATAGCATTTGCCACCATCTAATGCATTATAGATTTTGATTATTTATTTGTTAGACATCTGTTTCTAACCAGTAGAACATGAGCTGCCTGCTCAAGGCAGTGATTTCTGTCTGTTTCATTCACGGCAATATCTCTAGGACTTATATCATTGCTTCGCAAGTAGTAGGCATTTGATTAATATTTGTGGAATCTGCAAATCTTCTATATATCTTCACATCCAATAGCTTTCTACCTATGTCCTTCAAGTGAGAAGAAAAAGAAGTTTTCGAGTATTTGGAGATCATTAATTATAGTTTTAAGTAATTTCCTATGGATGACTGGTGTTGGGTAATGTAAATTTTTATGTAACCCATCCATCAGGCATTTTACAAGGATTTATGAAGTTTCCCCATCCACCGATTGCTTCCGACCTTCCAAGCTACAGATCTTAGCTGACGCAAACCCTAGTCTAGCCTTAGACTCTCAACTATGTCTTTCTCAGAGACATTCGCACTTGGTGTTAGGCAAGCTCAGTTTTACTTTTGCAAATATAAACTGCACAATAAGAAGAAAATCAACTTCAGTTTTTCATTGATTTCTACCAATGGCAGGATGCAAATATTTTTAAAAGAAAGTAAAAAAAGTTTGCGTCTTTACAGTGTATTGCATTGTAATAATTGAGATGTTATTTCCCTGTGAATTTCATATAAAAATTTTTAAACTTTCTATTAGATTTCAAAGTATGTATTTTTAAAAGAATAAAATGAAAAATAACTTAGAATAATCTATTGAAATTATTAATAAAATACTTAAGCCATATACTAAAGAAAACCCTAAAGATTCCACCAAAAAACTCTTAGAAAAAATAAACAAGTCACAGGATACAAAATCAATGTACAAAAATCCATTGCATTCCTATAAGCTAAAAATGAAATTTTATTAATTATAAAAAAGAAAAAACCCGATTCCCTCTTCAATTGCAACAAAAAGAATAAAATACCTAGGAATAATGTTAACAAATCATGTGAAGGACCTATAGACTGAAAACTATACGACATTATTAAAAGAAATTAAAGAAAACACAAAGAAATGGAAAGATATTCCATGTTCATCGGTTGGAAGAATCAACATAGTTAAAATGGCCACGCTATCTAAAGGAATACACAGGTTTAGTGCACTCCCCATTAAAATTTCAACAGTATTTTGTAAAGAAATAGAACAAAAAGTCATCAGATTTGTATGAAATCACTAAAGATCCTGAATAGCCAAAAAGCCATCCTGAGAAAAAAGAACAAAGCCTGATTTCAAATAATGCTACGAAGCAACAACAATCAAAAAAGCATGGTAATGGCAGAAAAACAGACACATAAACCAATGGAAAAGAACTGAGAGCCCAGAAATAAACGCACATACATATGGGCAAATAATTTTCGACAAAGGAGCCAAAAGTATACAATAGAGAAAAGAAAGCCTTTTCAATAAATAATGCTGGGAACACTGGAAAGCCACATGCAAAAGAATAAAACCAGACTGCTATCAGGCATCATACAGCAAAAGTAACTCGAAATGGATCAAAGACCAAAATATAAGACCTGAAACAATAAACTGCACAGAAGAAAACATAGGAACTAGACTCATGGATCTTGGACGTAGAGAGAATTTTATGAATTTGACTTCAAGGCTACGGAAGTAAAAGCAAAAATAAATAAATGGGACTATATGAAACTAAAAACCTTCTGCACAGAAAAAGAAACCACTAACAAGACAAATCAACTGAATGGGAGAAGGTATTCGCAAATAATGCCTCCGATAACTGGCTAATATCTAATATATATAATGAACTCATGACGTAGAGAGAATTTTATGAATTTGACTTCAAGGCTACGGAAGTAAAAGCAAAAATAAATAAATGGGACTATATGAAACTAAAAACCTTCTGCACAGAAAAAGAAACCACTAACAAGACAAATCAACTGAATGGGAGAAGGTATTCGCAAATAATGCCTCCGATAACTGGCTAATATCTAATATATATAAAGAACTCATACAACTCAACAACAAAAAAACTGAACAATCCAATTAAAAAATGCACAGGGGACCGGAACAGACATGTAAAAAATGCTCAACTTTACTAGTTATTAGGGAAATGAAAATTAAAACCACAATGAGATACCACCTCACACCTGTTGCAATGTCTGTCATGAACAAAACAAGTAATAACAAGTGTTGGAGAGGTTTTGGGGAATAAGGAACCCTCATATACTGCTGGCGGGAATGTAAATTGGTACAGCCACTATGGAAACAGTATGGCGGTTCTTCAAAAAATTAAGAATAGAATTACCATATGACTCAGCAATCCTTCTGAGCATCTACTCCCGAAATTTGAAAACATTTATCTGTAAAGATATATGCACACTGATGCTCACATTGCAGCATTATTTATGGTGGCCGAGACATATAACCGACCAAAGTGCCCTTCGACAGATGATTGGCTAAAGAAGATATGGTACATATATACGACGGAATATTACTCAGCCATAAGAAGAGATGAAATACGGCCACTTGCGACAACACAGATGGATCCTGAAATTACCATGCTAAGCGAAATAAGGCAGACAGTAAAAGCTGAGAACCATATGATTTCACTTACGTGTGGGATACAAAACCGAAAGCGACAAATAAACAAGACAAACAAACAAAAACACGTAGACACTGATAACAGTTTAGTGGGGACCAGAGGGAAAGGGGGTCAAATACATGCTGATGAAAGGAAATTTGACTTTGGGTGGTGAACACACAGTGCGATATACAGATGATGTATTACTAAACTGTACACCTAAAAACTACGTAATTTTATTAACCAGTGTCACCCCCCAAAATTAAAAAAATAAAAGAGTAAAATGGGAGATAACTTACAATAATCCATTAAAATGATTAATAAAACAATTGAGCCAAATACTAAAGAAAGGCAAAAGATAAATCTGATATCACATTTCTCTAAGTTAAGCTATTGTCTGGATTTGTTTTTTCTTATATTTTTGTTATTTTTAAATTCATGTATTCATTTGCACATTTATTCAAGCCTTCTAAATTTCCCAAATATGAATTCAGCACATAACATGAACTTAGAGTATACAAAGCATCAAAAGTGAGATCCAGAAATTCGAAGACCTTATAATACACTAGATAGGAAGATAAATCACTTTCATAATTTTTTCTCATTTCTTTCACTAGACATCAGGTACAGAAAAATTACTGGGGCGTACTATTTGGGAAGGCCAGGAATGAAGTGATGCCTTTAAGACAGAGTTCTCCCTGACTGAAACAAAAATCAAGTTTGGACACTTTAGTGGTGTAAGCTTCATGCGCCCAGAAAACTGACATTGTCGGCAGCACTGTGCAGGTAGACGGCAACCCTTCCTCAGTCTTTCTTTCTCAAGCATCTTTCGAAATCCTCCAGGCCTCTCTCTATTAAGCACGGACGATCGCGCTGCGGGAAAGTGGCCTGCCCTTCCCCTACGACACGCCATCAGTCCTCAGCTTGCATTTGGGCGTCATTTACTGCAGGCAGGCTTCCTTCCTCTTCGTGAACTGTCTAAGAGATCGGCCTCTGCAAGGGACCCTGAGACTTCCCTTCCGCAGCCTCTTCCCTTCTCCTAAGTACGTTACGGCACGTACTTAAAATATTAAAATGATGTGCTTACTTGTCCAGTTTCCCCACTAAGATGCTGAACTCGGAGGAGGCTGGTGCTCCTGACGCGTTTCCTCCTCTGAGCCAACACGCGCAGCACAGTACCTGTATTTAAGTAGCTGTTTCATAAATATTAATTGAATAAATAAGCTGCTTTATACCAAATTGTACCTTAAATATTTGATTTAGAGTGTTCATCTGCAATGATTAAGTAGTTAAAGAAGTTATTAATTTTTAATGACTCATCGATGCTTAGGTGAATAGGTTTAGACAGTTTCAAAGGATCTTAGTTGAGTGTGGGGGAGATGGGCAGGTTAAGGCCTGCCCAAGACATGCAGGATTTCCAACGGACTTTGCATAAATAAGTAATTTTTTAAATAATAATCG